ATTGACGGATCTTTGATATTCCCTGAGGTGGTTTCTCGAGCATGCTACTTAGAGTGTTCGTCAACCATTCCTCTAGTAGCTTTTTGACTACTGGGGGCGTTTCTTTTGCTGCAGATGTAGAAGTCCCTCTGTCATGCAAAGTCGTTAGATCTTCGAGTGAAGAGGGTGAGATCTCCCCATCCGGTACACTACTTGGTGTTACATTCGCGGTATTTTCTCTACCGGCTTCGTTGAGTGGGCCTATGAGGTTGGTTGAGACATCTGCTATCATCTTCAGCCTTGATTCTTTATCTGCCATTTGTTAGTTTCTATGAGGTCTGAAGAACAACGATGGTTGTTTTTGATATCCTAGATGTGAACTATGATTTCGACTACCGAAATCCCCACAGACGGCGCCAAATTGTTTGACTCAAAAGTAGTTTAATACTTTTTAAGCAAATCAATCAATATAGATGAAGGGGTAAATCGTAGTTGAAGATAATAAACCCTAGGATGATCTTGAGTACAGGATCAGACAACATCAGTACAAATCGGAGAAATAAGAGAAGGTGATAATCTTCGAGAGGTAAGAGAGAGGTAATGCTAGAGAGAGAAGAGAGAAAGATAATGTATTTCCAATAATGAACCCCTCTTTACAAGGCTTGGACCCCTCTTTATATAATAGAGGATCCTTACTTGAATACTAAAAGACAGGAAATAAAGTACATACTATAGAGGGCCGACGTGATCATGAAGTCGCCCCTCTTGTTATTCCTAGGTCGCCCTTCTACGTTGGACTCCCATATATTCGGTCGGTCGTGCTGGCTTCAGGACGTGGTCGGTCAAATTCGACCCCATACATTATCTGCATTCAAAGCCAGCCGTTATCGCACCCACGCAACTGAAATTTTATTCTCATTCAAGAGGAGCTCGATTTCAGGATCTTGCCTCCCTAAGTATAGCTATAAATAGCAGGATTAACAACCATTGTAGGACATGAAAGATTCTATACATAAAAGTTGTAATTAACTATTTTACGCTTAATCTAAACAACTTTATCATTGCATTTACTTTTGCTCTCAGGCTTGTCATTTTCTTTAATTTCAGTCATTAATTTTATTTTTGTTCTTATGTCTTTATCATTCTTGGATCAAATCGATTTGTTTGTCTATAAATCACGCTATAAATTTAACTGTACTGTTTTACGGGTAAATAATAGTACATTTTTTCCTATCTTCTATTTTGCAGAAAAGAGCTCCCTATGATTCAGATTCAAATTCAAATTAAAGAAAAAAGTGCCCTCTATTTTCTCATGATCAATATGATGTCACCCCATTATTATTAACAAAATATTTAAGGTGGTCCGCTTCCACAGCAAAGACCACGTCGCATTACGTCCGCTCCCCGGTATGCCTCAAGTCAATATGTTCACCAAGCGCACGGCACAATCACCATAACCTTAAGCAAACACCAAACTTCCAATACCACCCAAAAGAAAGGGGAAAAAAAACGTTTAAGCTTTGAAATCAAGATTAACTCCGTTAATTTTCCTTTTTTATAATACTCAATCATTTCAAAGCTCAACCACCATCACCATAACCCATAGTTCATTACTAAGCTCAAAAACCTCCCGTAATTGAATTTGACCGTTGTAGACTTTCTGATAAGGCCGTGTTTGGTTGTGTGGAGTCACCTTTCTGATAAGGTTGTGTTTGGGAAATTCGGTTAGGGTTTTGATGGCTCAATCGATGAGCAGAGGAGGGGGGAGGAGTGTGGTAGGGAACTATGTAGTGGGGAAGCAAATCGGCGCCGGCTCTTTCTCGACGGTGTGGCATGCTCGGCACCGAGCTCACGGAACCGAAGTGGCTATTAAAGAGATCGTCACGGCTCGGCTTAATAATAAGCTTCAGGATAGTCTCAAGTCCGAAATTGTAATTTTGCAGAAGATCAATCATCCTAATATCATTCGCCTCCACGACATGATCGAGGTTTTGTATTATCAAATTCAGTTCCAGAATATATATATGTTTGTGTTAACTAAGGAATTATGCATATTTCTGCGAAGAAATGCTAGATTTAATATTCGAATTGTAGCTTAGTGATATCATTTAGGTATTTATGTGACTCTATGGAGCCATTGGAAACATAGAGTTTAAGTTATATGCACTTACTGTGTAAAAAAATGTATACAAAATCAGGTAAATTTCTATATAAGCATTAATTAATAACCTGATAAAATGTTATTAACCTGCTGTAATAGGTTAGACTACGCAGAACTGTAAAAAATCTATAAAGTGTCGGGGTATATAACTTAAATATGGGGAAATAGAGGTTTATCTGACTGCTTGTTTGAATGCACGGACTGTTGGGATAATATATTTTATGCATTTGGAACTTTAAGCAGTATAGATTTCTATGCTCATTTTGCTCGAGACTTGAGATAATATCTGTTTGGTGAATGTTTTCTGTAGAAAGAAGGAACTCAATAAAGAAAATGCTCATTATGTGTTACCTGTTTAGTTGTCTTCATACTGTCAAAAAGATAGTGTATAGCTTTGTTTCTATAAACATGTTAGAAGGAATATGAGATTAGTTCTCCATAGAACTTCAGGAAGAATAGCTTTTCGGTAAGTTGTATGGGAACTAGAGAGCAAATTCAGCTTTGTGCCTACCCATGGCAGGGTTTTTGACTCTAGACCTTCGTATTTGAGACCATATCTGCGACTCTGCTGGAGCATAGCCCAGCTTTGTTACTTTGCTTAGGTTATAGTCCAAGTTTCGTGTTCATTTGGGTGCACAATGTTGCTGAGTTAAGAATCTGCTTTGTTAAGAAATGATATGTTGTTTTGCTTGTGACATATCTTTTCTTTTCCTTTTTGATCTAAATGAAACCTCATGAATGGGATATAGGAGGTGGGAAAAATATACATTATTTTGGAGTACTGCAAAGGAGGTGATCTTTCTATGTACATTCAACAACAACAAGGGAGAATTCCAGAAGCAACTGCAAAACATTTTATGCAGCAACTTGGTTTGTCTGAATCTTCTAGCTTCTTTTGCCCAACTTCCTTTTTTCGCATGTAGAGTGAATGAATTTTTACTATTACATGAACTCAAAACATATTAATGTTCATGTTCATTTCTTCGCTGCAGCATCTGGTTTAAAAATCCTCCGTGATAACAATCTAATACATAGGGATCTAAAGCCTCAGGTTTGGCTTCCTTCTCCTCTTCTATTCTGAAACTTTAAAATTTGCTGATTCCTCATAAAGCTCAGGTGATTCTGTCGTAGTTCTTATTGATTCATGGGCATCTTATGACTATCATGCTAGCTTTCTATGCATAAAGATATTAAAAAACGAGTGAGCTGCAAAGGGACAATCCCGTTATTTGTGCACCACCTGGCACTTAGCATATATTGTGCTAATCATCAAAAGGAGGCAAGTATTTGGTAGTTTTTTAGTGCATAAACCACAGATTGGAAATGGTTCACATGACTCTATCACTCGGAGGTAATTGAGGCATGCAGTTGCTTCATTTTCAGGTAGCAATCGCATGTCTCATACAGAGATTTTGAATAATCACCATTTGCTGTAGACAACACTCTTCACAAAGATAATAAAGGTAAAAGGAAGGCATCAAAGGAGTTGAGTCTCTTTGAACAGATATGTTGTTTTCATATCAGTAAATTAGTAGATTCTAGTTGAGGGAACTTATGATTTATTTCTAGGAGTGAGTTCTTGCATGTCTCTTTGGTAATATTTCATTTATTGGCGACACTAATACTTTTTTAATTTTTTTGTGAATTTGCATGCTTTGGTAAGTGGAAATGGTCAATTCATTGACTTGTTCCTTTTTTCTCGATCCAACAGAATCTCCTCTTATCCTCAAACGATGAATGCTCCACCTTGAAGATTGCTGATTTTGGGTTTGCAAGGTAAAGATGCCCATTCGGTAAATGTCTTTCTGCTGATGTACCTCCCTCCCTTCCCTCTTTTGAAAGGCTTAAGATCCAGCCGTTCATCTTACAGTAAAAACACTTGTGCTAGATTTTCTTTCCTTCTTCTTTCCCCTCTGTTTAAGCTGCTAGCTTACTGGTTAAATGTTTCCTAAATGGTGAGTGGTCCATTCAAAATTCATAATGACTTAAACCAGCTCTCTTTTGTTAGGTCTTTGCAGCCCAGGGGCCTTGCTGAAACACTATGTGGTTCACCATTGTACATGGCTCCAGAAATAATGCAACTTCAAAAGTATGATGCAAAGGTGATATACTCTTTCTATGATTCCCGCCCATAATCTAATAGTATCATTTCAAGTTCCTATTAACTTTTGGCTGCAAACGCAGGCAGATCTCTGGAGCGTTGGTGCCATCCTGTTTCAGCTTGTAACAGGCAAAACACCGTTTACTGGAAACAATCAAATCCAGGTTTAATATCTTTCTAAGCTCTGCATACTTCTTATAGTCGCACTTTTTCAGTTCAATTTGATCGGCGATATTAAAATTCTTGACACAAAGTTCTAAACTTTCTCCCTCCATCTTTCCTGCAGTTGCTCCAGAACATATTAAAGTCCACCGAATTGCTGTTTCCTCCAAATGCAAAAAATTTAAGTGCTAACTGCGTAGATTTGTGTAAAAAATTGCTGCGCCGTAATCCAGGTATGTCATTTGAGTGGTCTGGATTTCAACTGTATAAAATCTTTCACAAACACTCTTGAGTATACTTGTATCATTGTTTCCTACACGCTTTGCCATTTTGAACCTTTCACATAGAGAAGATTTTGTATGATTTTCAGTATTTACCTTAACAATGATAAATCCAGAATTCTCATTACCTGACAATTTTTCATTAAAATTTCAAAACTTGTCTTTGGTGTGTATCCATGAATCCACAGTGGAGCGGTTGACATTTGAAGAGTTCTTTAACCACCCATTTCTTGCAGAGAAGCAGCCAGATGAACTGTCTTGGTAAAGTAGTTAATGAATTCTAGTTCTCATTATTACATATTGTTCATCTTTCGGATCTGATTTATGTGTGGATATTGTCGGCAGGGATAGGAGACCTCAAAGGGTAATCGGTGGTTTTCCTATATCAGAAGGCTATCCTGTGAGAAGCAGAGAGGATACTTTTCAAGAAGATGGTTTACCCTTTAGTCTAGATGATGATTCCAGTGTTCCTGATGGTAGTCCTTCATTTGCTGGGAGATTACCACAGAGGTTGTCACATGGATTTTCTTATGATTCAAAAACTGAGAGGAAAGAAGGTTCTAGTAATACCCCACGCAAAACAGATAGTATTGGCTCGAGCCACAGACATTCAGAAGGGAACCTGAGGGAATCTATTAATTTGAAGGACCATAGGCAAGCAACTACTCGTTCAAAAGGTTCTGTTTTGCAACGCTCTTTCCAATTTCCTTTTNTGCTGAAATTTGAAATGTATTCCCTTATTTTCCAGGCGGGCTCCTGATTGCTAAAAACTTGAAAATAAATGTCTCTCTTCTCTAGGCGGGCTCCTGATTTCAAAACTTGAAATAAATGCTTCTGTTTTCCAGGCGGGCTCCTGATTGCTAAAACTTGAAATAAATGCCTCTGTTCTCCAGGCATTAAAACTTGAAATAAATGCTATTCCAATTGTTGTACTTTTGCAGTATCTTCTCGGTACTTGATTAATGAAATTTACCATATTTTATAAAATTCAAAAAGCTTTAACCCCATGCTTCATTTACAGCACTACCAGTTCAACAACAGCCTTGCTACTGTTTACACCATTGATTTGGTTACCCCCCGTGTAGGAGTCTAATATGTGTGCTCAAGTTGGAGTCACCTAAATATATCCTATTCTTGCAGATCCCGTTGTAGTTGTTTAATAGGACAAAATTT